ATATTACTTTATGATTGTACCATAGACTGTGATTATACAGTCAAAGAATAATAAAACCATGTCCATGTAAATTTTATGCTTGTACACTATGATTATCAATTGTACGCACCAACAATGAAATAAATAAAAAATTGATAACTTACTAGTAGATGTTAATCATATTTTGACCATACAATATTTGGTATTTGTCCAATACATTAGAGAATAATAATATGAAATGCATATTTATTCAATAAAAACTAATATAATTCTCAAAATAAATTACATTTTTTAATTTATTTTATTTTATTTAAACGTCCTTGAACTTTTTAAGTCTAATAATGTAACGTTTTGGAGAAATCGATTTTTTAGTATTTTTAAAATAACTTATGATAATTATTACCATTAATTGTTTTAAAAGTAAATTATGGACAAAATGAGAATTTTTAGAGCAAAAAGATAATTGGAATAAAAGTCCTTTATATATAAACAAAACTGATTCACAAACCAAGGAATATTTAATCCTATTAAAATAAAAAAATTATAAAAATTAAAAAAAAATGTCCATATCATGATATAGATAAACTTATTGCATGACAAGGTATATTTATTTTACATACAATGTTAGAACCTAGCAAGTTAAATTCATAATTTTTAAATATTTTTTCCTATATTAATTATACATTAAGTATACAGCCAATTTAAAAACAAATAATTGTGTATAATATAGTTGTTAATGCCAACAACAAATAATTTAATTATTCTGACTTAAATCATTCATAAAACAAGATATTACATTTCATAACATTATTTGATTAATTTATAATAATTTATATCAAATCAAAATGGAAAGAATATTTAGAAATGCATTCATTATTACAAAAAAACTTACTTCATCTGCTATCCTCAAGGCGAATAACTTTAAAGTTATTTCACGACAAATGAACAATCCAACAAGAATCAAGTCTGAAGAGGAAATAAAAGAAATGATTAGCCTCAAAATAAAAGAATACGAAAACTTAATATCATTTCAGTCACCTGAAAGGCTAAAAATATGCCAAGAAGTAAATCTGCTAGACTCTAAATTGAGAAAATCTTTTGGGTTTAGCGAGGATGAAGATTTAACTATTTTTCCAACGTTTAAATTTGATGAACCGAAAATTGACAATCAGCTTGATTAAAAATGTATTCGTAATAAAAAAAAAACTTTACTTCATTTGATATCGACAAGACAAATAACTGTAAAGTTATTACACCAGAAATGGATAATCAAACAAAGATTAAGTTTGAAAGGGAAATACAAGAAATGTTTAGCGTCAAAATAAAAGAATATGAATGATTAATATCATTTCAGTCACCTGAAAGGATAAAAATATGCAATGAAGTAAATATGTTAAATATTAAATATGTTATTTATGAGTATAAATTGAGAAAATCTTTTGGATTTCGACTCATATTTAGGTAGGTATTATATTATTATTTTTATATTTATTATATTTATTTATTTATTTCATTGCATATTTTTACCCCTTCAGGTGACTGAATTGATATTAATTCTACATATTCTTCTATTTTGATGCTAATCGTTTCTCTTATTTTCCCTTCAGGCTTACTTTTTGTCTGATTATCCATTTCTGGTGCATTAACTTTACACTTATTCGTCTTGTTGATACCAGATGAAGTAACATTGTTAGACACTGTAAAACAAGCATTCGAGAAAAAACGAACACTTCTTACTAATAAACATTTTTTATTATACATACAAGTTTAATTTCAAGAAAGAAGTTAATAAAAACATACATTTGGCGTATATTACCATATGGTTTTGAATTATGGACGATAGGAAAATATGAAAAAGATAGACTGGAGACTATGGAGATGTGGATGTGGAGGAAAATGACTGGAACAAACTGGATAGAATATAAGATAAATGAAGCAGTGCTGGACGAGATCAATGAAGAAAGAACAGTGATGAACACAATACTGAAAAGGAGAATAAAGCTAATTGGACATCTACTAAGACACAATGTGTTCATCACTATCTTTATGGAAGGAAAAATAGAGGGAAAAAGATACAGAAGAAGACCGCGTAAGTCCTTCTTTGAAGAAATCTTCCATCGAATGGGTTGTACCTCTTATCAAAGTCTCAAGAGGATGGCATATGACAGACATGATTGGCTACGACAACAAAGCTTGGTCTTTAGAAGCTGGTGATGATCATCAAAATTATCTATCCACTAGAAATTGAAATAGTAGACTTTAATGATTGCATAAAACATTCTACATAACAGATGCAATTGGCTACTAGGTGCCGAAAACTTAGATTCAAGCGAAGACGGGTGAATTGTAAAATAAAAGCGTTAAATGTTAAATTAAAAATCGACTAATTTTATTAAATTTAAACACTACGATATTAATATGTGTGCACAAACCTATTATAGTATGACAATAGCAATGAACTCCACAAACACAAGTATAATTTATTCGTAAGAAATGAAGTAAATTGAATGGTGTCTGTGTGCGAGGACATTAGCACGACTAAGTATTAGCTTAAATTGCACGCCAAACATATGAATAATCGAGATGAGATAATTTTATAGGTTTTAGTCCCCTTCTGTCTAGCTGCGCTTAAGTGCGAGGACAGATGTATTTATTAGAGTATAGTCAATAATTAAGATTATTTTTAGATACGTTTGTCGACCATTAATTTCCTACACGATTGTTTAATGCATAAACATTGATGATTAGGAATAATTAGAAGCTACTCGTAAAAACAGGACAAAACGGTCTGCAAGACGTTTTTCAGGACAATACAACGAAAACCTAAAATGGAAAACTGACAATTCTGTCCTCGCGAAGCGACCAAAACCAATATGTTGCCGACTCGCGTGAGCAGTGATCTGTGTACTATTCAATGTTTACACAAAAGTAAAAATAAATATTTTCCGTCTTCTAACCGTTTAATAACATTTATTGGCTACGAACTTTTAACATTAATTTGTTTAAAAATCGATCGAATAGATGTGAAGCTTATATATTGCTTTATATATACATGCTCATACTACTCCGTAAAATAACACCTTTTGATGATACAAACTAATAACATATTATTTCTCGTTCCCAAGATAATGCAGAACACTGATGTAGAACTAAGCGAAATGTTTCGAAAAAAAGGATTGATAAATATAAAAGCAGTTATGACAATGATTAATATATATGCATAGGCACTTTAGATTTAAATAATTGTTTTTCGAGATTATTTCGTTTGATAATTCTTTATTAAATTATTATTATTGAGCATAACCATAGTAAAATAACTCAGAATTCAGAAAAACTTAATACCATTGGATTATCCAGTTTCAGGTCCATCAGTCATATGTGGAACAACTATATTCTTATAAATTACAATGAATGTCTTCAATAGTTGGACTATTCAATTGTAATTATAGAAAAGGGCTTCAAGTACTACTATACATACTTATGGATTCAATGATATTGAGTTTTTAGAAAACGAATTCTCTATTTTGTACAATATATCAAGTGAAATGTTTTCACAATAAAGTATAAATAAAATAAAAACAAAAAGTAATAGTTTAGTGAAATACAATTTTAAATTAAGTATTGACAGTGAATTGTACTTTTACATGCGATTGATATCTATGTAAAAAATTAGAAAAGCGTTTCAAAATTATCAGTATTGTACTTAAGAAATAGAAAAATACTAGTCAAGAACAAAATATATCTTAATACTAGGCAACAATTATTTACAAAAACTAAAATTTTTACTTTTAAATCAAATAGAATAATCTTTATATGATACTAATTATATATTTCTCAATTAAGTAATTTAGTACATCCCTTCTAATAAATATAATTTGATCAACCAAGATTTTAGTTGATATTTCTTTAAACATTTAGTATGTTATTACATTTTATCTTCAACTGATTACATTTAATAATAAGGACCTATGTTTTACATCATCTGCATTTTATTCTAAAATAAGTATTATTATTAGTAAGTAGAAAGAATTTATATTATATGTATATGTATAATATGTACATATATTTGTATATATTAATTAGCAAATGTTCTAATTATAATTTAATTTGCATAACTAATACTCTTTTATGATTTTAAGTTTTGGCTTTTTATTAAATAAAAATCAACTTAATATACATACATAGTTGCAACTTAATTGTCTTTATTTTCATGTTATGATCGAGTATTATTGATAAATTAGATAAAAATAATAAAATATAAATTTATAGGAGGTTAACTATAAGGTAAACATGACAATTATTTGAAGTGGCAGTACAAACTATTAACGTTAAAAATGAAAAAATAAAATAAAAATCATGTAATATAGTAATCTAAAATCAATAACAAAATGCCCAATAAATAACACAACTCCATTCTCTATGAACATTTATTTAATTGTATCAATAGTTGATACAAATTACACAATAAAATTAAGACATTAGGAAAAGCGGGTAAATTATTTAATATCATATAAAAAACAGTCATTTTAATATTGTTTTTTAAAATACACAATTAACAGAAAAAAATAAAACATTGAAAATAAATGATGTTTCATGAGTTTATTTATATAGATGTGAATAAAAACCCTAATGGTCAAACAAAACTTAAATATTACTTTCCTCATACATAATTACCCTAATAAATAGTCAATCTTTAAGCAACATTTTTTTGTAATTTTTTTTTTTTTCATATCAATTTCATTAACCATACGAATACTAATTAACCAGACACACGTGATTTATTTATATATACATATGTCATTAAATCTTGACAAGACATAATTTAATTATGTATTTAAATTTCTAAAAACTTCTACAAATTTTTACATTCACAAAAATTGATAATAAATCGTAATTTATTATTTAATATCTGATGTTTAAACTCCCTAGAAAAAAAAAATCACTTAAAACAAATTAGGTATTTATAAATATAAACATTATTCTATACAGTTTCTTTATAATTACATTTGTATAAATTATGGACGATTGGTTTATAATTTATTTGTTAACAGTTTATATTTGTTATTTATTGTATAAATATGAAAAGAAAAATTGATTCCGATAGGACAGTAAGTCATGATTCTAATGTTATAATGAAGAGTTTTGTCTAAATGCATGACCCATATTGTTATATAATATTGCACCCTAAAGTGTAACTGACCGTATTTATTGTATTTAAATTATATTTATATTAATGCATATATATAAATATATGCTTATTATTTATAGATATTACATAGTAAAATGTAAAACACTGGTGGGGAGTATTATTTTTATCACATTATTCATGTCCTCAGGAGCGATTCTTCAAACAACGACTTGTTCTGGAGGTAAAGGAGGATCTGCAGGAGGATCTTGTGGACCAACACTCTGTGTTTCTGACTTAGCAGACCATTGTGTCCCGGATTTAGATTTATCATAAGGCACAGAACGACCAGCTCTACGTCTTTCACGTTTTTCTTCCATTATCAAACGTAACCGTTCCATTTTTCCACGGGTAGCTGCATTTTCTTTGGTCTCATTTTCTGAAAAAATTTAAGGATATAAATTATAATGAGGCATATTATATAAAATTTCATATGTCTTACCAATGTTATCAGAAGCAGCAGACGTTTGAGCAGATACACTATTAGCGGTGGTAAATGGTGCAGCAGCTTGAGCAGCTGAAGCAGTAGGAGGAAGTGTAGTAGCGGTACAAACAGCTGGAGTACCAGATCTAGCAGCAGCTCGATATTGTGGTGTTGCACATAGTAAATCATTAAGTATATGTATGATGGTACTAATATCACGCTTTGGACGTCCAAAGCGATCTTGTAAAGCTGGGTTCAAGGTACCTGTAATAAAAATAAAATAAGCCATTATATTATTTTTACATTAAGATACACACTATATTTAAAATTTTATTTGTTTGGAATGATGTTTGACAGAAATTGTTTGTTGCAATCCATTAAGTTAGTTAACAACAGACATATGTAATTTTATGTTTTCAGCCAAGAAGCCTTAGGCTGACTTAGCGGTAGGAAACCATGGAAGAGATTCATAAAGCCTTAGAAAGGATTTGAAAATGAACATGAAATTTACCAGAAAATGTTCCTGAGTATACGCCTTTGCCATGATGTTGCATGCTCTCAATTATTGCACCAGGTCTTCGTTTAAATCCAATGTGCATCTAAAAAATAATAATACACACAATAAATAAGTAATCAAACTAAACTGGATTTACCTAAATGTGTATCCTAAATTCCTAAATTACATGGTTTTAAAAAATTAGATTGAAATGCTAGAGTTTATATCAATTCTATATGGTACTGCTTAACAATAAAATCTGATATAGGAATATACCACCATTACTTTTTCTCAAACTCTTTGGTATTTTAATTTGGTAACAGAAAGGATTGTATTATCACAAACTTTCACTTTTCATACATTATAATACAAATTATCTTAATAATAATCATAATATAGTTTTACAGGTTGTACACATCCCATAGTATCAGTATACTACCATTTATCATGGCATCATTATCGACTTAATTAAGTATTACATTCGTATGAAGATCAGAGACTTAATCGAAAATAATTTGAAAACAATATTTGTAACAAACCTAATAGAATAACTAACTAAAAGTTAAAACATGTAATTTAGGTTCATGAATTAAAAAAAAAAATTTCCAATATGGGACTTATTACATATGAAGTACATATTGGTATAAATGTAATTATTTACTTGAATACATACTCTACATAAAATTTAAAGTGAAACAGAATATTATATAATAATTAAATATTATATAATAAGAATAAATGAAAACAAAGGGCAAGAATCGCTAAGAACGGATCCGAAGTATTGGACAGATTTCTGTACAGAGTAAATGTAGATCGTACACGGTCAAAACGCGTATATAATGTACGTACAAACATTGACTACCGAATCGAACAATGATTACGTGTTCGCGTCAGGACAATCAAGCCTTGGGGGGGGGGAGGCACTGTTTTCCATTATCTACGGAATATTTCACACAGTTCAGACACGGGGCCGCCTTGTCCGGTTTGCAAAACACGAAAACGTTCAAGTCGCGGGTGGGTAGAAACCCGAAGGACTTCTATGAGCATGGTTACAAGTTCGGATCACTGATGGCTCCGGCAGAGACCCGCATGCACATTGCACGAATTACACGACGAGAAAAAAATACCACGGCTTGAGTAGGAGAGGAGGCGTAAATGTACAGGGGTCCAGCGATTCCCGGGAAACGAGCCCGCACACTTCCGCCGGGCAGGAAAAGGACACGCGTGGCGGGTCGGCGAGGGCGGGGGAGCGTTGGGAAAACGTACGTACAGGAAACGTACACGTCGTTGTACACAGGTGAACACGTACCGCACACCAGTTGTAAAAAAAATTGTTTTTGGACCATTTAGTCACGCACTCCGCGCCGGTGATGGGAGTGGGGGGCGTGAAAAAGCAACGACCTGCCTCAAAATTGGCAGCCGTTCAACGCGCAGCGCCGCCGGTCGTCGATGCACGAGACGATGGGTGGCGGGCGGCGGCTGCTGCGGCGGCGACCGGCCTACGAAAGCGGAGCACGAACACGACCCTTCGCCGTGAGAGCGAGAGCGAGAGAGATCAATACGGTGTTGGGGGTGCGGTGCCGGCCGCCGACGCCCCCGCGGAAAATCGAATCGATTGCAGTGCGGCAGCCCCGCTGCCGTCGCGGTCGACGCCCAGCGAGCGTCCGAAAAATAGGAGGATACGGGGGAAAAGGAAAGAAAAAAAAAAAAAAAAACAAGAAACGTTTCTCGTCATCGTCGCTGCTGCTGCCGTCGCTGCCGATCGCGACGACACGACAACCCTTGGCAACGATTTATTCGTCTCCGGGTAAACAACACACGGCGAAGGAATACATTTGCACGCACGCACGCACGCACGCACGCCGCGAATACGTGTACACGTGTACGCCGTACGAGTACGTGCGACGACGATTAATACGCGGACGACGCGTGGGTGTCGTTCAGCCCCCGCCCGCCGAGCTCCCACATTTCGGCTGACGTACGAGGGACGGCGCGCGGCGCGTGGGCGTACACAATAATAACGTGAATGTAAATTATTATTATTACCATTGCTACGAGTGTACGGAGGAGGAACGTACGTACGCTGCGGGTACGCACTGTACGTTGCACGTACGTGGTACGTGTACCACTAATAAATGCAGCGGACCGGCGATAGTGTAACACGGTTGTGTGCGCGCGCGCGTACATCGCGCAGTGGAGTTATTTCTAAAAAAAATCGTATTTATTTTATCGTGCCGCACGCCGCCGACCGACGGGACGTGAACAAATATAAACCAGCGTTACCACGGGTAGGGGACTCCCCCACGCGCGCTTATGACCACTGTTCCGATGAAATATTATTAAACCGTATCCGAGGCGGAAAAAAATATAAAAATTATCGCGAACCTATGTGTTATAGACTATGACCGACAGCGGTTTACGGGCGAATAGTGTTAGTGTAACATATAAGTAGATATTATGAATTCGGTTTCGCCGGAAAATAGCAAGGAGGGCGCGTGGCTTAAAATGTTCGTTTTAGTCGTGACGGACTGTTGAAAATATTGTTTTTCTCGTTGCACACGGATTTAGCGTAACTGCTGAAAGATGTTCGACGAGTTGTCGGTTACGGTTCAGGACCAGATGGTTTTCTGAAGAAGTTAACCTTATTATACCATAATTTTAAAAACTCGTTTTGCTCGTTCATTATATAGGTGTTTTAAAATACATTTTAGCGAATACGACAGTGACCCGGAGTAGTAAAAAAAAAAAAAAAAAATCATAGTATTAGTTGGTTACGAGATGTATAGTAACTGTCTAAGTGAAAGTGATACCAAATTGCAAATGATATCTACGACACATTCATAAACATTAAAAAGTTATAAATGGATAATTTATTATATTTTGTTTTAAGATAAATCATATTTTACATAAAAACCAAATAATACGTTTCATGTACGTATACCTTAAACTGCCAAACCGATTTATTTGAAATTTTAAGGGAAAGTAATAATAATAGGTGTACTAAGGATTTTTTGAAAATTGCATTGTAAAAAGTCGAAACCGTTTTGGGTTTAAGTCCGGTTGTATACATTTTTCAATTTTTGGTTACCTAGGAAATATGTTTTAATAATTATCGATTGTGGTGTATGCAAATGAATATAGTACAAGAAAATATCATTAGAATACACGAGGACTATTTGCTTTTTTCAACCTGCTTTTTTTTCTTTTTTTTACATCGAAATAGTAATTACATTAAATTTAATATAATAAAATATCCCTGACGATATCGTATAATCCCTATTATACAGTGTTAATATTATTATTACACAACTAATTTAATGTTTAATATTATAAGTATAGTTAAATAATTCAGCTATCAGTTAACAATATATGTATTTATTCAACGCCAATAATATTGTTTGGAAAGGATAAATATAAATTTATTCTATTTAAGTCTTAACAGCCTATACAATTAACATAGAACGCATTAAAACACTTTTAAATATAAATTTCACAACATTTGAAATTTGCTCTTTTCTCACAAAAACAAACATTTCAAATGCAAAATATTATGTTTGGTGTTTTATTAGATAATTAATCAAAACCATTATTCGATGAATTATATGCAAATAATAAAAACATCTGAACTGTATTACATTATTTTATGATGATAAAAATAATTATTATATTTAAAAAATATAAAAAGATTACGTTTTGTACACTTAAAATTAATAATAAGTTGAATAACTAAAATGTTACAACAGTAACAGCAACACACTTGAATAAACTATCTAATGAGATAACAACAGAAAAGTTAAGTATATTTTATAATTCTATAATTTTTGAAAAATAATTCGAGTCATAATGTATGAATAATATAAAACATGAAAAATAATTATACAAATATGGTTTAGCGGTAAAAAAAATACGTAGTGAAATTGACATTAGTCAGAAAGTTAATAAATATTTTTTTCTGTTTAAACATTACACAAATATAAACAGTTAACAAAATGTACTGTGGAGTGTAAGTATTATCTATAATCATACAGTACATTAGTACCTATAAAGTTTTACGTGTAAAAAATAAAATATCCGCAAATTAATTAAAATGCAAAATTAAGCCAACATTACAAATGTATAAGACTGTATTAAATAGTTTATAATCATTTCCGGAAATAAATAATTGATTCATTTTAATATACAAATTAGTTTTAAATGAAATATAGAATACGCACATAGTATTTTAGATAAAATATGAGTAATACAATATTGTTAACGACACAAATTGTTCGATTATTAAATCATTAAATGCAAAAAGTAGTTGTTCAGCAATAATGAAATAGTAAGAAAGTAGTAATTCAATAATATTAAGTGATGCTACAACAAATGCTTTGATAACATTTTATTTCATTATAATTATATAGAGTCTATATTTAAAAAAAATATAGACCAAAATCAATAATTCGTATGAACTAGTAAATTATGTAGGCCTTTCTATAAAATTAAATATTCATAACATAATGAATTATCAATTATCACCAGAATAATATCTAATATTATCAATATTGTTATAAATAAAATATTAAAGGTCTGTTGTTCTTTTTTGGAAATGTCGACTCACTAGATAATATTATTATATTTCCGTGATAAGAAATAAATCATATGAATTACGTAGTTATTATGTTATTATTTTTTGACCAATAACAACCCAAATTTAATACATTTCACAAAGTGTTGAAATACAATATCTGGTGTATAATTAATTATACGAAACAAAGAACAGATATTGCGTTTTTTTTAAATCATACTTAATGAATATATATAAACAAACACGTTTTAATCGATTTTATGTTTCAACTTTTAATTGAATAATTGTAATTCAACTACTTTTTTTTTATAAATATTATTAATTTAAATGCCTAGGAAACAATATATTGAATCTTCAGTGAGCTCAAAGCCTAAAATCAAAAGTAAGTAAAATGTATTATTCTTATTTTGCTTAAGATTTATTTATTAATGTACTCAATCTAAACAGTTATGACTATAATATTGATATGTTAATAAAGATTTTTTCACACATTTAATCAAATGAAAAATATGTTGTTGCGTTACATCAAAATATAATTAAAGAGATTTAACGTAAACAAGTTCATTATTATATGTAAACGGAATTAAATAAAAACAACTATTTATTCTATCATATAATTTTCTCGGTTCGCATATGATTCACAGAGAGCAAAGATTACTTTGATGTGGCGTATGCGTAGGAGTTGGTCACACGCGGGGGATGATAGAATCACAACGGGTGGGCGACGCCCATTGAAGTATTGTCCATTAACAACCCCTTCACATGACGAATAAAACATATCATGTTAAGTTATATTTAATGTTTTAAATTTAGTGTTACCAAAGATTAATATTTACATTTAATTTGTTTTTTACACAACTAAATTCCACATAAATAATACAAAGTATATTTTTGATTATTCTGAAGTACACTAGAAACAATTACATTAAACATTTTGATAAATTCCAAGAAATAAATCATTTTCAACTAATCATTTAGGTTTAACATATATAATAATTTATCATTATTTAGGAATGGGATTTCACCGCGGTCTTATTTTTCAACAATTCAAGTAAAATAAGTATAAAAAGAAAATATTAAATAGAAAACTCAGAATTCTGATGTTTTCGCAATGTGTACATAAATAGGAAATCCATAGAAGAGTGGTGAGAGGAAAGTAATTCTCGGCTTAGTATCTATTGATTGCCACTGGCGGTTCGGTCCGCCCTATTTGCCGTAGAGTTTATTTTTTACGCGTCTCTGAGGCGGCTCTGACTGAATCGACACAGTTACTAGACACCGTTGTCCGGCGAACTGGAACACCGAGTACCGTAAAACACGGATCTCGTTTACGGTTACATTTAACTGTCCGCTGGAGGCAACACGACTCAAACGTTGTAGGGGGAAAGCAGAGTTTCAGTAAAAAATAATATTCAGCAATTTAAAATATTAATTAACATAATACCATGGTTTAACAAACATAAGAAAATAAGTTATAAATACTATTTATACAATACATACATCAAGAAAAAATGTTTTAAACAGATTTAAAGGAAAATAGTTTTGGGGACTATAGTTTTGTTTAATAACGTTCAAATATATCAAAATTATTTAGCTAGAATCGTTAAAATACATAAACAGCATCAGACATACGTTCCTATATCCATAGCACAATATAACACATTCGACCGTTAAGTGAATTCAACAAATTCAAAACGTGGGAAACAACTAACACAGTTTGGGTAAAAAAAAAAAAAGATAAAAAGAAACTGCATTTAAATCATAATAAGTACATTGTAAATTATACACTAGAATACATATATGTATTCTATGAATAAAATAAACACACATCAACGCGTCTTATTGTTTTTCGGCGTTTCTAGAAGGTTTCCGTAGAAGGGAAGAAAGGGAGTGAGAGAGAGCCGATCAATGGAAAACAAGGTATGCGTGTGAATGTGTGTGTGTATAGCAACGCGAGTACACAACACAAAAGGTCGCACCGGCCCGGGGCCTTTGTGATAAGCGACCTCCCGCGTGATCAATATGACGTCGATTTCACTGTGGCGGCCCAACCACGCCCCACAGGGATACCCGGATTCTGTCGGAGTCGTCGCCATAACGTTTTCGTACGCACATCGATGTTGTATTCAAATACTCGCACACAAATATATCTACCGAAAAACGTGATGAGCCTCGAAAACAATACACGTCCATAGAAAATAAAAAAATAAAAAAAAAGTACACACCGCGCACATAACACATCCTATTTTGTATTATTTCTTTCTCTCTCGCGCGCTTACCTCTCACGCAACTCTTCCCATTCCCGATGTTTATTAATTCGGTCGTGCAAAGAAACTCGGCCGTATTTCACCTGGAATTGAGGTCATCGGATGTGTACAGCGTACGCGCGCAACGCCGCTCACAAAGACGTCGGCGGCGGCGGCGGCGGCGGTGTGGGTTAGTAGTGTGTGAACACGAGTGAACGGCAACGTCGACGCTAGTCGGCGACACGAAACTTTTTTTCCTCTGCTCCGCGCGCGTGTGTGCGTGCGCGCGTGTGGATGCTGCGGCCATACATTGATCATAATAACCCTCGGGAAGCGAGACGGAATTAGTATACCCCGGGCCCTACTACTACGTTGCCGGATTGCGACGTTGCCGCCCACACAACAATCAATATGACGACGTCCGGACGCAAGAATTGAAACCAATCGCCGAAATATCGGTTGCGCCGAACACCACGCGTTCATTTCGGATTTAACTAGTTTTCTAATTTTACCCGTTGAACGTCGTACGTACACCCGTAAAACGTTCGGATCGTAACGGGACGGGGCAACACGAATAGACGAAAAACAAACCACGTCGCGCGTTACGATCGCAAGGGCGGTGGTCTCGGCATTTTTATCAAGTAAAACACGTTCTGTGTTGACTGTATTGACACTCACCTCTTTGGAACCGCTCTTCGTGGTGAGCACTTCCGAAGACAATTGTTTCAGTGTTTGAGTAAGGTTCCGGGAAGCTTCGGCGAGCGCGCGGGTGTCCAGTTGCGGTTTTTCTCCGGCGGCCGTGGCCGTGGTAGTGGAAGCGGTCGACGTGCTCGCGTCGCACGAACAGGGAGTTGCTGGCGCGGGCGTGGGTGCCGGTGCGGCCGGCTCAACGGGCGCGGCCGCGGACACCGGCGGCGGAGGCGGTGGCGACATGTCCTCGGTCGTGTCCATCGAGTTGTCGTCGCTGTCGTCGGATACGTTACGCACACGGGTTATTGGATATGCGTCCACGCCTGGTATCAGTCTAGGGGTACCGATTATGTTGCCGGCCGAACAAGTGGTCGCTGCTGTGGCCGTGGCTTGTGGTGGTTCGGGGGACACGGTGGACGCGTTCAAAGCGGCCGCGGCACCTGTGCTGGCCACGGTCGAGGCGGCGGTTTGTAGCCGTTTCGACGAACCGGACGACGACACGGTGGACAGCTGCAACTGAATAAGCATCATGTGATCGCCCAATCTCATGGTCAGGTTTAATGGTGCTTTGCCCGACAGAAAATCGTTGACCTGAAATACGCAATAAATAATTTAGTCTTACGGAGGTATATTACTTAACAGGCACACGTATACACATATATATGTATAGATAAAGAAAATAATAAGAACCAAATTGGAATACAAATAATAAAAATATTGTTATGTGTATTAAGTGTCAGAATGGTTATGCAATAAAGAATTATTATCAAATATCGATTGACAAAGTTCGGTATGCAATAAGTGCACATTTCTGGTAAAATTGCTTGCGTTTAAATTTTTAAAATATTGCTAATTCGATGATGAATTGTATGTACACAATCAATAGCACATACGTTTGAAATTCATAGAGATTGTTGGATGCTATTTGAATTCAAAAAAGGTTGAACGACTATTTTATAATGACAATTAAAAGAAAATATAAATATATAATATTATAAAAAAGTATGGACTAAAACGATGGGTTTTCAGTACGGTTTTTAGGTACAGCTAAGCCAAATTTGGTTTAGAATGCATTGTAATAGAAAAATATTCTTAACGGATTACAGTAGAAGTATTTTATTTAAAATTATTAATCTTATATTTATATCTTTTATTGATGATAAAAATTTAATTAAATTACTATTTTAGCATTAAGTTTCGTGTTGAATCAAAATATTCATCAATATATAAACAATTCGAAGGCTAAAGTTATCACCTAATCGCAATCAAATGATCTGATGCAAATTAATAAATTTATTCGAGAACATGACATATTTTAGGACGTTTGTTTCTTGTACCAACTGGATAATGAGAAATTGATAATAATAATAATATAAACTCTACACAATATTTTATATTCTACGCACTTTTATTTATAGAATAATGGTATGGATTAAATACACCATAAGCAACAACAATTATGGTGTCAACCACTAACCTTAATAATTTTGGTAGAATGGTGTTTTACACGGATAAATAGTTTAAATTTGTACACAGCTTAAGCTGTGGTCACAGTGACACGGACGACGGCCGATAAAATTGGCCGACATTTATTCATTTCAATGCAATGAGTGTAAGTTATAATTTATAAAATGGCCAGCCTCTCATTATTATCGTATGAAAGCAAGTCCTACTATTAAATATTTATTATTAAAAAAACGAAAGCGTCACACAAATGACATTTTTTCGGACAGGGAAAACTATGGAGAATTCTGTACATTGTTTCACCAACTATTGAAACAGGATGAAGATTTACTACTATGGTACCATAAGCTTCTTCTTTCATTAACCAAAACTTATTAATTTCTCGCAGTCCATAATAAAAATAAAATATTCGTGTTTGAACTACGTCGACAGAATCAGCCGATGATAAAAACCAACGAAATTGAATTTTACCCGACAGATATCCGACGTCGGTGTAATCGGCCGATGCGGTCGGAAGCACTGAGACCACTTGTATATTTACTTTATTTAAAATGATCGGTCGAGTTTCACCGACGTCGGTCATCGGTCGAATAGGCCAACGTCAGTGCCACCACTGTGACAGCAGCCTTAGGAGATAAAAATTGTATCTATTTTATAAACAACTATTTATGCCAATATCGAATACATGAAAAGATTAATATTTTTAAGATTTAACGCAAGATATAACTTGAAATGTCTTACTCTACAAGTAAATTAGGAACATAAAAATATAAAATATTAAGGAAATTATAGTAAACTTAAATATGTAAATGTAATAAAATCAAGATTATACAACTGAAGACTTCAATACTGTTAATTATAAACGTATAACATATTGAAAAAATACTAAACTATTAGGGTTAGTTTAATGTAACAAATGTATCAGAGTGACTAATGAATGATCGCATAACAAATTATAAAAATGTTAATAGAAGGTTTAGGTATTTCAAAATATATAAATATATCTACTTCAAAAATATGAAAAATCATTTTGAACTAGAACTGTATTTAAAAAAAATCAACTTATATTTAAACGCCTTAAACAGAGTTAAAAAAAATATTTAACACTACAACATACAAAAATTTATTGGTTTTTATACTTCATAATTTTTACCCGTGTTTAACGGCATTGAAATAATTTACAATATACGATTTAACCAACAAGGCATCTTTTTAAATATTTATACGCATTCCGAAAACATGTAACGGTGTAAAACATTGTTAAATAATACAGTTAAACGAAAAAATAATATGAATCCTTAATACTTAGTACGAAAAGAAATGGATTAAACGGTGAAATTACCTGAGAATCATTCAAACTTTCCAACGCCTGCATTACGCTTTGTTCTGGTCTCTGAACCTAAAAATAAAAATTAGGCTATAATATAATACAATACATTTACTAAACATATACGGGCATTTATACTATACAATAAAGAGCGTATATGATTTGTGAACACAGAAATTGTCTGTACTATAACATGTAGATAGATTATAATAAAATGTTATCGGCAGGGTGTGGTCCTGGATTCACAAGGTCCCTCTGATAAGGTCGACGCCCGGTTTAGAAGACGGCCCGCCCAATTTTGTAAATATGTCGTTTTTATTTATCTTTTAGGGTTCTGTATATTAGTCTGAACGAAATTTATGATTATTTTTGTCCTGAAAAATGTCTATAGGATAAAAACTTCATTGCACATATTTGTGGGACAAACTGTGTTAGCATGATAAAAAAATCAGTAGTTTTTTTCCCATACACGTAAACCACGCGATTCGCTTTGTCGACCATATATCTAGAACGGAATAACGTAACATAACACTGATCTACTTTTACACAAAACCTATACAAGTTTCAGCATAGACTTAGTTTTCAAATAATTGTGACTGAATAATATATACATATTTTTCCTAAATACATAATATAACGATTGTACAACAAAACCGATATCAAGCACATTCTGTATTATAAAATATTTCGTATCCTATCAAAAATATGGCATTATCTGTTGTTCAATCAATATTGAAGATAAATCGATTTAATAACACTAACAGAAATAGTTTTTATTATGATATTATAGATTTAATATAAAAAGAGAGAATACTTCATATTCAGTAGTAAAATTGACGAATTGTCTTGCTAAAGAAAGTATCAAGGATCGAATTCAGTTCGGAGATTAACTACATAATGAAAATATAAACGATTAAAAAATACAAAATAAAGCATACTAAAGTATTATTAATAATTGTTGTAAACAAATAAATATATATAAATAATAAGTGTATTAACAATACAATTAAAGTCCATAATAAATGGAAAAAAAAAAATTCACGGTTGCCGTAAATAATACATTTTTATTATTTTACGTTAAAATTATTAAAATAACACAAGAAAGTTATTAGATTCAGTCGCATTTTTATTTCACCGATTGTTGGAAAGAATTAATATGACTAAACAAAGGATCATAAAACAAAACATTTACTATAAATAAGTCCAATATTCTTTCAAATAAAAATGTTTGAACTTAAATATTAATTTAAAATTTATTTATGATAAATAATAGTTAAACTTTTTAACATGAACACTGCAATAAGTACACAAAGACATTTTTTTATTTTAATATTAGGCCAATTTTTAAAAAAAATGGCTTTATAACCTTATTACCTATTCAATTGCCAACAAAATTAACAATTTATCAGTAGCATATTATTTTTTATACAAGCATTTCAATTTGATTGAACACTTTATTTCACGTTACATAGAAGTAAATTTGATGACAATTAAAAAAATATTAATTTTAATTAAAGACCAACTGTGAATTAAGAATATTCACAATAACATGTTTAAAAATATTAAATTACGTATTTAATATTAAAATGTACATTATATATAGTTATTCATATTTATTTTTTAATGTAAAATTATTTGAATATAATTTTAATACTATTATCTGTTTATGGTCTTGTAGACTAAAAATTATTCATAAACTGAAGAAATAAATTATAAATGTATAGGTAGGTAATATTTTCAATATTTTTTTTGCACATATTTTAAAACACCAGCTTATGAAAAAAACTTTTTAAATTTTAATATTTTAAAGTTATATAGCGTAAATTCAAATTGTATAACATCTAGCATGACAATGTATTACAAAGATACTACACATACTTAAAAAAAAATAGCTGCTTACGAGTGCTTATTTTAATATTCGTAATGTTCTATAGATAAATATTATAAGAAACCTTCAATAGAATACACTTTATTATGACATGTAATATCTACATATTCAAGGTAAATATTATATAAACAATGGAATTAACAACGAACTAAATTCTAATAAGATTTTAAAATTTAACTAAGAATAGAGAATAAAGTACGAAGGAAAAAATTTCTTTAATGATAGAAACTGTGGCGAAATGAAACACAACTATTTATTATTAATATCATTTAATGTGAAAAGTAAAATAGGAAAAGTAAGTAAAAATAGGAAATGCATAGAATATTGTATACAAATAAAAATCGGTTTTAGGTAATAATATATTTTAAAAAGCCATCATTTAATAACACATCGCTATCGATTATTTTCTTTTAGCAGATTAGCTGATATGAAATATAACATTTAATAGGTCCAGGCGAAAATAAAACAGAGTTTTTAATTTTAACATTCAACTGGAATTCATTAAATGTTTTAAAAGAACGGAATGAAATAGAGAAATCACCTCCGGCCACTCACGATCGGGTCATAACGGTGTTGACCGTTGGCGTTCGGTGGCGTTTTGCCCGCATGAAGAGAGAATACGCCGATGTCGACAACGACGAGCCATCGACACGCGGTGTATACCGTTGCCCGGATCCCGTTACCCGGGCAACGGGACCGTCGGCAATATCGTTATAACGGGCCGCCGCCCCGTTACAGGGTACCCCGATAAGAGACATAACGGTCCTGAATTATACGCAACGCAATGCTCCGTTAGGCCTATCATGCTACGCACCAACACCCTGTGCAATGACTATTATGTGTTGAAATTTGTTTTGGAAAACTTATAAATCAGAATAACGAATATTTTAATTTAAAATTGTATGTGTTAAAAATCCACACACACAAACTGAGGATAAATTCATAAAAACAAATTTAAAAAAATGTATAATCAATATAGTTGAAAATTGCTTGCGTTATTTTTTTTTCGAGCAAATGTGATACGATGACAGTTTGAATGTATTATTAGTTTCAGAATTTTAATTGATAAACGAACAGAAAATACTATAATACTGTTATAGTAAGCAATAGTTGTAGTTTGTAATTTTACACTTATCGGTGTGATTATATTTATGATAATTTAGCAATTAAATAACACATACTAATGCCTACTTTATAATGTTTTATAATAACGACTTTAGAAAATAAAAAAATATATTTAATAAAATCATCAAGCTTTTAGAAATAAAACAAAACATATTACCTCGTATTTAAAATATTGAGAAAGAAACTTATATTTATAAGAATAGCAATTTAATTTTGGATAAATATAAAAATATATTGGACGAATATATATACTACAAGTATTGTATAACAAATAACATAAAAAATTATTAATAAAAATAATATTCAAATGTAGTCTTGCTAAGCTAATTTAGTCGCACATATACAAATACTATATATAATTACTTTTCTTTGATTAATGGCTAGTAAATTTGTTAATTAATATGTATAAAATAGACAAAAATGTAAATACTAATTAATATTTATTTTAATTTTATTATCAATAATATTTTTTTTCGTGTGTGGAGTACCGTATAAACCTTATAGAAAAACTATTATTTAAAACATTGTCCAGTATTGCTCACAAAATGATGAGCTGTATTACACAAAAATTACAAAGAACACGATTTAGATTGTCTCTGAAATATTACTATCTCGTACAGTTCATGCTGTTAGATTAAATTATTATGACAATGGGCTTCTATGAATCTAAGATATATTAATTACGTTGTATATTAATACATACAATTCATGTACATTTTAAATATAAAAAGCAAAAATTATGTTAATAATTAATAGTAAAACTATTATTTATCGTTTAAATTACTAGGGTTCTATAAATTGTTACATATAATAAACATAAACTAAAAAATAACGAGATAGTTCCATAAGTTTAAAGATACAATCTATAAATGTTCTAAATAATATTTAAAATATATATTTGACAAGGTAGTGTCAAATGATTATTTAAAATAATTATCTAAATTAGTTCCATTATAATATTTGCCCTAACACAACACACTCACATCTCTCACTGATATAAATAATACAGTTTTTAGAACATCTTATATAATATTATGCAAATAAGTATTTTTTTTATCAAATAATATATTATGGGGTTAGGGCATTCAGTGGTAAACGCGAATCTATAAATTATAAATTTAAAGTAACAATAATACCGTGGCGACCGTTATACAAACGTATGACGGTGCCCATAACAACGAAATAAGTCAAAACTTATTTACAACAGTCACAACATTATTTTTACAAATATCTCGTGAGCGCATTTTAACTTAAAACTCAAGTTATAAATAATAAAATATTAAAATTCAGATATAATATTTTCGTGAATTGTTCTCGATCTTGATTAAGGATATATCGAATATATCGATTAACTACAAACATAATTACATCCATCAGGCCTACTGAAATTAAAAAAAAAAAAAGTAAAGAGAACAAGGCCTACTTGATTTCCTTCTCCATCACCATTCTAAAATCTCAAACCGAGATGAGTTGTCCTTGCTCGAGCAACACATACGTGTTGCCGTTCTATGTATAATAACGTATTATATGTAATATATCGTGATCATCAAGATGTGTGGCAATAAGGACACACAATAATAGGTATACCCATATTATTTTATATTTTAAACTGGTTTATCGTTGTAGAAAAAGGTGGGAGGCCCGGAATAAAAGAGACGAAAACGAAGATCTACTCGGTACTCACCAGAAGACCGGTTTCCACGCTGGGCAATAGGGTGAGGCGGCTTCCTTGCATCAACTGGTTGTCGTCCAACGAGCCATCTCTAAGTTGCCTGCGAGACAAAAAAAAAAAAAACAAAGCCCATAAATCAATAAACGTCTGCTTTGTCGTCCATAACGTACGAAGTAAAATTCACGTCCAACGATAATAATATTATCATTGAGATTATTGGTCATACGAAAAATTGAAAAATAAAATCATACAGCTCTTTATACCGTGAAAATAATTGCAACAATAAAAACCGATTGTTAGCAACAATAAGTTTTTCAAGGTTTAACGCAATAATAATAATTACAGGTGCGTTACATAAATGCGTCAAATTACGTATATATCTATTGCGATTGTCGTAACGTGTGGATAAACAACAGTGTTGCTGTAACCAGAGGTTACATTTTATTTTTTTTTTCTTACACACGACGTTCGAGGGAATAAAAAATATAAAACCCGGAGAAGAGAATGCGTTCACTCGGGCCGTCAAGAGATAATTAATAGAGGAAAACAATAGAACGCTCGCGCATTTTAGGAACCCCTGATTTTCCAAGACGAAATAAAGCCATTTCTTACAACGCTCGATTTCCAGAAATTCTGCAAAAATGCTTAACATATAAAAACGTATAGAATAATGTTTGCCAGATGTCCTGAATACAGCTTGGCTAGTGTTCGTCGCGGTCGAGAGAGACGATGACGTGTTTCTTTGGGTACACACAATAGACAGAAGAGGGCTGCCCGACGATAGAACGAAGCAGCTGTTCTACACTTGTCTAAAAAGGGACCCGTGCGGCTGCGGCTCGGGCAGCCGTTCGGGTTATTCACCCTTAAATTTTAATGGCGGCGACATTATCCAGCTTTAGGGGAGCGGCGGCGGCGGCGTCCGTCGTGTCAGCTGTTGGGATTTCGATCCCACGCCCGGCAAAGACTTGGCCGATACAGACTTGCGTAACCGCACGGATAATTCGAAGAATATTATTACACACAACGTTTTTACAAGCGTTATTATTTGGGTTACCTGTGCGCGCAAGGGGTTCGAAAAAATAATAATAACACGTAATCGTTTTGAAACACGTCGGTAACAAAGAATCCGGGACGAATATATTATTTCGCGACGTCGACGAAACGTTTGGAAAGCGTTAAAATCCGTCGACTAACATACAGCTGTTTGACCGTCGTCGATTTCGAAATGTTATTGTATTACAATAAACGCGACTTCCGGGAAACGCGAGCACCGTTTACGCGGAACAGAAACGGGGATCGGATGGAAATCGCGCGAGGTCCGGGATAAGTTCAATTACATCGGGAACCACCACCTATGGCGAGCGAGTGGAAAAGAAATCGGCCGATGACAATGTGTTGTACGCGGGCGCGCGCGCGTGCACGTACACCCGAATCCTGTTGACATCGTTTCTCGTTTTCGAGACGTCTTTGTTTCAATGTCACGGCATCGTGGGCGGATGAGAGGGGAGTGGCGATACCGAGAAAGAAAAACGGCCGACGTTAAAAAAGGGTACACGAAACGAGCGCAAAAACGTGTACCTAGTTTTTTTTTTTTTTTTGTTCTTTCTTTCTCCCGTACGTTCGGACGGGCGACGGTTTGCGCAACGAACGAGTGCGACGGAACGGCAACGTCGCAGATCGGTCTCCGACAAGACACATCGCTACCTGAACGTCGCCCCCTGTCCCGGATTCGGGGAACAATCGAACGAAAATTGTTTATCTCGTCCGAGCAGCTGTTGCTGCGGAGGGTACGTTAAACCGTGCACACGCACGATACACGCACGGGTCGTGACCCCCTCGGGCGCGTCGGCTTCGTTATCGAGCGGAAGTGCCGGTCTCGAAGTTTGCCCGGACCGGAATTCGTACTTTGGAGTGCCGCGGCGGATTAACCTTTTGGCGAATGTATACAGCGCGGACGGGTGCACGCGCTCCTCTCTTCACCGTCGCGTAGATTACGCCCGCACAAAAGGAACGCGTCGCTCTATCCTTACGCGCCACCCGACACTCTCGCTGTGGAGTCTCTCAGGGGTAAATGAGTTGCGAGGTGGGTTGCGGCGACGTCAAAGGGGATGGGGCGCGGAGGGAGGTGATAAAATTAAAACTAGAAACGAATAATAGAAAAACGATTGGTGCTCACCTCTCGCGATACAACAGGCATATGCGCTCTTTAGGCACTCTCAGCCGCTTGGAGATCACTTTTTTGAGGCTTTCCACCGAGTCGGTCTTGAGCACGGACAGATCGAACTGGCCGCCGGTGGTCGGCGATACGGTGATGGTGATTTCGGACGCTTCGTCCATAGCGATGCCGTTGCTCGAGGAGTTGCCGCTGGAGGCCGACGAACCGCCGCCGGTGGACGTGGACCCACCGCCGTTGGCGGCCGCGGCGCCGCTGGCCACCGCGGTTTGACGGTCGTCCGCCGTTTGCTGTTGCTGTTTCTCCATCTCCTCTTGCAGTTTCAGGTGCGCCCGATGTCTCAAACACTCGGCGGCCGACGCTGCCGCTCTCAACGCTGCCGCTTTCGCTGCGGCCTGCGCTCTGTTCGCCGCGACCAACGCTGCGGTTCTTCTCGCTGCCTTCGCGGCTACTGCCGCGGCGGCCGCCGTAGCGTCGTTATTGTTGTCCACCGCGACACCGTTGCAACCGCACCCGGATTTCGGTTCGCCGGCGTCCTTGTTGCTACTGCTACTGCCGCCTTCCATCGCGTCACGTCAGTTATTATTTAATATTATATATATAAATATTTATATATAATTAAATATTATTTTTTATACGTACGGGTATGAGTAAATATATAAATGCACGAGCGTTGTGTGTATGTGTATGTGTGTGTGTGTGTGTGTGTACGTTTGCGTTACGTATACGATTCGAGTACGTTTATATTCTATATTCTATGGTAGGCAGTCGATGTTATATTACGGGCGAGTTACGAGGAACGTTGGTGTGTAGATAGGTAGGCGTCGGGCACGAGGAATCCGATGACGACGAGTATCACAACCGCGAGTCGGACGCCATGGTGAGGTAGTGACACTGCATTAGCGGTGGCGGTTGACACACGACGAACGCGTTCACTGATATATGAACAAAACGAAAACGGATAAAAACGAAAATAATAAAAGACCGAGTGCAATTGCGAGGATACACGTTTCGCGTTGACGGCGACGAGACAAGGAAGCGAACACGACCGTAACGCCGACGGATCGCGGAATGGAAAAGAGAGAATCGAATAAGAAAGGAAGACGCGATGGCCGCAAAATGGAAACATGCTGGCCACGCGGCTTCATACCGAAAGTCCCACCGCGGTCGACGTCGGCCGGTATTGGCAGCAATGCAGTCCAACACAGTACCGTTATCATCGTGTCCCGAAGCGGAGTCGTTGGTTACTTGACTTATCTCGTGCGGTTACCTGTGGATTTTTACTTTTTCATCGACATTCGCAACACCGGGTCTTATCAGTCGCTCTAATCGTCATCAACTCCTATTCGTATTTTTATCTCCGTTAGTATGCGTTCGCACTCCACAGTTATGCAACAAATTTTTTCTAATTTTTTTCTTTATCAGTATTTACTTTTTGCATTTAATTTGAATACTACGCGTTATCCACTTTGTTCCATCTGCAACAGAGTTACAACAATATTACATCTTTAATTACTATGTTCACTCTGTTCCGTCGTTCTCATCATTATGGACACACACGATAGAACAGCGCAACATATTAAAGGTAAAAATATTTTTATTTGTCAATTATTGGAAACATTTTGATACTTCTACGTTTCGATAGATATCTTATTTCCAAAAACCTTGAAGTACTACACATTCAATTATGCGTAATTTCTTTGTGGCAGGTGTATTTCTCTAGTGCCCTATTCACCTATTATATTGCTGACATATGGTAAATTGTTTTTGTATGTTATTTCAACCCAGATATATGCATCAAAATACTAATACTGAAATTGCACAGTGTAAAATATACCTATTAGCCAAAACATAAATATTTTTTAAATTGTTGAATTATTTTATTACTTAATTTATCACATATGGTTATATATTTGTAATTTTTAATGTAGTCCTATGATTATAGAATAACACAGAAGCATTTATCAATAATCATAAGTTTTTATAATACAATTATTTAAGATTACCTATTATTTTTTTAGAATTTTTAATTGATCTTTAATAATTAATAGATAAATTATCTATATATTAAATAGATTTATAAAAATTTACTAATTTAGTCTATGATAACTGTTCATGTTTCTCCATTAAAAAATATATGCCTACTTGTTGAGAAACACTGCTTTTAAAAAATTTGAAACCCATTAGTTTTAGTAACAATATTATGCAAATATTATTTAAATTATTTAAACTTTACTTCTTTTTATTTTATTTAACATTACAGATTCATTAGACACTAAAAACCTTGCAGAATGCCTTACACCAACGGGCCGTTTTTCATATTGTGCCTTATGTGCTACTTCCTTAAGTTGCCTTTACAAAGATCATGTACATAATGAATTTAAATTAGATTGCCTTCGTATTTTGTGCAATCATTTAAAATTAATGTTACAACTACGAACTATGCAAGAAATGGCCAGTTGTGAATTACCTTTAGATGCTAAAGTATATGTCAGGTCTCTTAAAAAAGAAGAAGTACTTAAAGATGGTTTGATGATTATTGTACAAGATCTACTATTACTAGCTATTTCAAATGGTAATAAAAAAATTTATTTTCATTCATTATTATTATTTATTATTACTATAAAACCAATTATAACTATTAATAAAATATGTTAATGCATAAACATTAGGATTAAAAGTAGGTAAGTATTTAAAATCAAAGAAATTTGATAATTATTTATTTTATAATTGTTAACTTTAAGATTTGATACCGAAAAATGCAATTGTAATTTGCATCTAAAAACTGATAATGATCAAAATTTATTAAATTAATTTAATATTATTTTTTTTAAAACTATTAAGTTGATAAATATTTTATAATAAATTATCACATATAATATATTCAATTATTATTACTTTAAAGGTACCTATGATGCTCGTTGGAGAGTTCTCATTTTATATGTTACTCGTATTTTTGATCTCGACTTAAATATAGTAGATAATTTTGAGTTACAAGTTGTAAATTGTTTATCAAATTTTTTACCTGCACAAACTGAGTGAGTATTTTTTTTCTCTAACCTATTTTACTGATAATTATAAAAATTATGTTTTTTATGTTATTAACTATATTAATGTCTTTTTTATATATCAATAATAGACAAGAACAAGCTGATGCAGCACGCCGCAATAATATATCAAAAACAAAACGTTTTGCAATGATTGGATTAGCATCAGTTGGTGGTGGGATTCTCATAGGTTTAACTGGTGGATTGGCTGCTCCTCTTATTGGTTCTGGACTAGCCAGTGTACTTGGTTCATCTGCAATTTTTGGAGCAATTGGAACTATTGGAGGTTCTGCTGTTATTGGATCACTTTTTGGAGTTGCTGGAGCAAGTTTAACTGGTAAAATGTTGAATATAATAAGTTTAATAACTAATATTAATTATTGTAAACCAAATTTGTAGGGTATAAAATGCATAAAAGAGTTGGTGACATTGAAGAGTTCCAATTTCACAAATTATCTACAGATACAGAAACAGGAGATGTTCACTTGCATATTACTATTGTTATATCTGGATGGCTCAGTGATGAAAGAGAAAGCAGTTATATTCAACCATGGGAATATCTCAGAGTATAAAATTAATTTATTTTATGCACATTGTTTTATTTAATAGCAAAAAGACAAATGCAAATACAAAGAGGAGGTACTTATATCAAATATCCTTAATTTTTAAAATATTGTATTATTTTAAAAATTACGAATGTTAAAAGTATAATTTAATATTAATTTATTAACAACAATAATTTAGCATTTCCAAAAGTTATTTAAAAAAATAAGTGCTTCCCCTAGCTTATAAAATTGTATTTGCTACTTTTATATTTAAGAATGAACAATTTGTTCAAATGTAAGCATAGTGCACAAATATATTAAATGTAAGGTGATGGTTATAATTTCATATAAACATCACACTATCTTAATGTTTTCTTCTGAAAAATAAATTCTAATGAAAATTAAAAAAATTGTCATGCTTTTGTTAATGCTTATTCAGAAATAATTTTGTTCTGAATTTTATTATTTTTGTTAATTTAATATTAAGATAGATTGTTAAATGAATCCAATTTTTAATGTCAAATTAATTAAATATAAATTATTATTGAAGGTTTTAATTTGTAACTTCATTATTCTTTCTCATTCAGCTTGAGGCATATTCATTTAATATATTAAATGATACAATAATAAATAATTTATTTTAAAACCAAATAAAACTGTTGGGCATCAGGTAGCTCAATTTTCCTATTGATAGTATAGATTGTAGATAATATAACAGTTTTGATTTCAAATCTATCTTACAAAATTAAGCATCACAACAATTTATTTATAATTAGTCATTGTAAATAAACTCTTCATTTTTAGGACAGTCCAGAGCAATATTATCTGCGATATGAATCTTCATATTTATTAGAACTTGGAAAAGCTATGGATTACTTTCTTAGTTTTGCTGTATCTGTTGCTGTACAAGAGTCTCTTAAATACACTGTACTCTCAGGTCTAATGGCAGCAATTGCATGGCCTGCTGGAATTTTAGGCTTGTCTTCTGTTATTGATAACCCATGGGGTGTATGTTGTCGGCGGTCAGCTCAAGTTGGAAAGCAATTAGCTGACACTTTACTGACTCATAGTCATGGTAATCGCCCAGTTACATTAATTGGCTATAGTCTTGGCGCTCGAGTTATTTATTATTGTTTACGAGTAAGTGTTTATAATTTAATTATTAATAAGTATATAATAAGAATGTAATTTTTCAGGAAATGTCTCAAAGAGAAAAATGTCATGGAATTGTTCAAAATGCTATCTTAATTGGTACTCCTTGTACTAGAAATTCATCAGAATGGAATAAAATTACTCAGGTGGTTGCTGGAAGAGTAGTAAATGCATATTGCAGGTATATTAAATATTTTTTCTTTTATTCTCAATTTTATGTTATTACTTAACATATATTTGTTAATTTTTTACTAAATATTAGGAGTGATTGGTTACTCAAATTCCTATACAGAACACTCTCTATGCAAGCGAATGGAGTAGCTGGTCTTGAAGCTGTTCAGTCAAGTAATGATAGGATAGAAAATATTGATTTAACTAGCATTGTTTCAGGTATGTAATAATTATTAAATTAGAAATACATTATTATCTTAAGGGTATTTTATACTGTAATATAATATATCTAAAAGATGATATACATATCATATACTAAAAATATAGTAATAATATTATTAATTTAATATTATGTTATTTGAAATGTTATTAATATCTTAGGTTTTTTATCAGAGAAATCAAATGAATAATTGTTTCTGTAAAGTGTATATAAAATTACCTAAATGGCTTGATATTAATATTATATAATTATTTTTTCATGATTGTTTTTTAGTTTTTAGCTAACCACCTGGAATTGAAAAATTAATACATTTCACAGTGTATAAATTAATGAAATAGGTTGATATTTTTTAAATATTTTAAACATTTAATTAAATAAATTTGATGATCAAATTCACTTCATTATATCTTGGTTATTTTAATTTGTTTATCAATTCATATTGTATGATTATACATTATTGCATTATTCATTTTTAAGTTAACTAAATCTTCTATTAACATATAGGACATTTTGATTATCCTCAAAAGCTATCAGAAATTTTAATGTTCATTGGAATTAATGTAGATGAATCAGCCAAATTAAAACATCAAATAATTTCTACACAATCTATGCCTGAAGGAATGTGTGAAAAATTAAATATAAATGTAAGTATTCGTTTTAAGTATGAAATTTTAATATCAGTTTATACAAAGAAAGTTTATTTTAGTACAAACTAAATAGATATAGTTGACTTTCTTTATCAACTTTAAATAATTAGTTTTAATTGATTACAAGAATTATTTAATCTAATTTGATATATAGAGAAAATTATAATAAAATTAACATTGCAAGACCTACAGTTTTCTTAATATTTATAATATACCATATTAAAATTATATATTAATATTTATGTAACATTTTTAGAATAATTTTAAACAAATCTTTAATAGTTACAAATTGTGTACAAGTGAATTGTTCAATACTTCTTGAATGTATACCTTTTCTTGGAAATGTATAATTGTCAATAACTTAATATTTTCTTGGTGTCAAAATCTATTAATCTTGTTAATTTGTTTAAAAAGTAAATTCATAAAAAATTTGTCAAAAAATACTGAAAAAAATAATAATAAGCAATAACATTTTTTTTATTTCTTTCATGTTAAAATTTATGATTTCTCTGCTGTGTATTGAGTTTTGTCAACAAAATTATAATTAAAAACTTATCAACATACTCCCAAAAAAAAGTTGCCTATTAACTTCGTAGAAATATTTATTGTTTTATTATAATAAATTTATATTAGTCATAGTATGGAACTTAAATCTTATTTGAAAATGTAATTACATTTTTGAAATATAAATTATTTGATAAGAATTATAAACATCAGCACTCAATAATATTTATTATAACAAATCAATTTTATTTTAGTACTAAAGCATAATATGCATATTATGATCATTAATCTTATTCAAAAACATGCTATAGTACCTATTGCTTATTGCTAAACACTTTAAGTTGCTTTTAAAATGTGTTCAAATTAAAATATTTCTTTTATAACCTATTATTATTAATTTTTTTTAAGTATTTCTAATGACTAATTTAATTGTTTTTTAATGTATTTGTTTATTTTTCATATTAAGAATCATTTTGATAATATGAAGAAATCAAAATCAGAAATTGATCTAGCGATTATGAGCAAAAATAATGAAGGACAATGATTATTTCTATCAGTTTTAAATGTATTAAGTTTATTTGTCAAGTAATTATATTAAGTTTTGTTATGTGTTGGAAAAATACTATTATAAATTAAATTTATATATTCCTATATCTGCAATTTAAAGTTTACCTAAAAAATTAATTATCTATGGTGCTCCAAAATGTTTAAAAGTTCTAATTACTTAATAAATTGTTACTCTATTTTAATAAATGCAACTTATGAAGTTTAAAACAAATTATGTAAAAAATAAAAACTTATATTTTTTAAAAAATATTAAATAATGTTTACAAACATAATTAAATTGTATTTAAATAATTACTGTTCTTTTTAAATACCTGTGAGTAGATGGAATATAATTTTAAATTGCTACAAATTTAAATGTATTAACACAGTGTTCCTATCAATATTATTTTCTAATATTTTTGTTGTCTGTTAGGTTAATTGTTAATAACTAGGGCTCAGAAGTTTATGCACTTTAAATGTGATAAATGTATACATATTACAATAATTTTAAATGATTAAACAATTACCAAATATGCTTTCAAAATGTACACAGTTTAGTTAAAATGTATTTTACTCATAATTTTTTAATATTATACATTAATTTATGATATAAGTATTAGACTGTGATACCATGGTTTTTTCATTTTGATTACACTTGAATCAAAAGATATTTGGGATTAACATAATTTAAATTATTTTTAAAAAAGTTTGAAATATGCATTTATTTCATAAAATCCCAAAATACGCTTATAAACTATTAAACTATAAAATATACAAAACAAAAATAGTTTTATTTAATTCAGTAAAACATGAATCATATATATATTTCTAGATTAGCATTAAATCAATAGAATAAAATATGTAATTTCGTGTAAATCTGAGCCCTAATAATAACATTTATACTTCTTTCTAAAAATGAATTAACCAAATTCTATGAAAAATATTTATTATTAATTATTAATTCATTGTATATTTTAATAATTTATGTGTGTGTAATGTATTAGTGTTCCTTATACCCTTAACATGATACTATTATATTTATAATTGTATTCTAATCAATAAAAATTTTTTTTTAAAATACCTATAAAAAACTAAATATAAATTATTAAATATATTTTCCCCCATAAATAGTACTAAGATTTTACTAACCTAATAATTGTCATTAATTATTTATTCCTTGATATTGTATAAATATAATTGGAATTTAAAAAATAAATATAAATCTGATAAAAATAATTAATTTACCTTTAAAATTTAAATAAAAATTGGGAAACAATTATTTATTACATATTTCGATACTACAGTATACTGTAATTTATTTTATTTTTTTGTCTTTAATATTTATGTAATTTTTTTTCCTTGATGTTTCATATTTTACTTCAATATTCAATCAATGTATACTACACCATATGATTAAGGGCTTTATTGTATTTTTATGTAAGTTGTTTACCATTTGCTACATATTCTGTGATAAGTAAAATATTATTATATACGTCTGTCGGACCCGCTTGTTACTTTATATAATTTCTTCTTTATAAAAAAACAACCATCATAAGACATTATCATTTTTTTTTCAAATATATTTTTTAAACAAGCAATTTTAAAAATTATAATTAAGAAATTAATATCTATCTAAAAACGGACGTTTACAATTATTTATTGGATGAATTGTTGTTACAACATTTATAGAATACCATATTTTAATTTTTGTACAAAATTTACTTTACAATGCACTGCACTGTAAGCTATTAAACATTTTATGTATAAGTAACATCATTGTGTTTATAATTTGAAAAATTAAATTAATGAATACAAAATTGAGGTAAAGTATGACTGAGTAACAAAAAATTATAATGATCGAATTACTTACAAATATTTAAGAAATTGTTGAGTTCATATTTTCAATTTTGTATTAAATTCTTAAAACGTCCTATATTTAATTTTAACTTATTGTAAGCGTGGCTTATATTATAAATGGTAATTATTATTATACATTTAAAAAGTTAACAATATTATGTCATCAATGTATTTCACTAATTTTATAAATATATATCAAATATATTCATAAATAATAGTATTTTTTTCTGGAATGTGAAGTTATGTTTGAGAATACACTGTATTTGATTAAAATATTTAATTAACTAGTCATGATGAAGTACAAATGAACAGTATAATTTGCAATAAATGTGCTTATATATATATATATATATATATATATATATATATATATATATATATTACATTGACTAGAGGCAGTAGCTAACAATTGTCTCTACATTTAATGTTGGTTATGATGTTTATAAATAACATTCATCTGTGAATATATTTGTTTATATAATGTGCCTAACTGCTTAATGAAGCCATTGGCGAGGACGGAGACATTGGTGATCGATTACAATCACTTGCTGATGAGTTCGGTGATCCATTTAATGTAATCACAAGTTTTCGACTACCAGCCTGATTTCGATGTTCACACAGCCAAATACCTTGCCATGTGCCAAGATTCAATTTCCCCTCAGTAATGGGCACAGTTATAGATGAACCGAGAAAACATGCTTTCACATGTGCTGGCTAAAAAAAAAAAAAATTTTAGAATAACATTAAAAATATAATTTTCTATGAAAAACTATTATGTTTATAAAATATCAAATAAATGTAATTGATTTACCATATCATCTGGTCCTTCACATGAATGTCGATAAGGTAAACCCTACAAAACAATCAAAATATATACAATTTGTACCTAATATGAAAAATTATTAAATTATTTTTAATAATAATTTTATTTAATTGATAGTGATAAGTCGTATCATAATTAGAAAAATTTTGATTGACTTATTTTAATTTGTTGGGTGATGATTGAATTTAAAAAACTAAAGATCTACTTTGAGACTTTATCTTTCAATCCAATACAATTATGAATAATAACAATTCTAAGCAAATTAAATAAATATTAAATATTATAGTCTATGATGTTTAAAGGTAACCATATTTCTAATAAATACCAAAAAGCTTGATTACAATTACCTGAATTAACATATTTAATGGACTAAGGGTTAATTTGATGAGGAAAATTGTAATTAAAAAAAATCAAGCCTATCATAAAGAACTGGATTTAATTATTTAAAGGTAGATAAGACTAAATATTTGCTTATGCAAATGTATATTAAGTAATGTTTTAATAACTACTGATATTTTCATCAATACTTACTTCTGGTACTATTTTATTTAACATCATCTCCATATCATCTCTATAAAAAATAAAAAATAATAATTCGCACAATTTTCCAATAAACATTTCTTAAAGAAAGTAATATACAAATAGTTAACTATTACAAAAATACATTTTCCAATTAAATTTATTATGGTTATATCTAATTTTTTAATAATATGGATTTAAAGAATGAAGGTATCAATGCTTATTCTTACCGGACATTTGGATCCCAACTTTCATTTATGGCAAGACTAGCTGATGTGTGTAAAACTAAAAAGAAAAAAAATAGTTATTATTGTTTATTATCATGCTGTACTCGTTTATAACAATTTATTTTTAATATAATTAAAAAATTAATTAATAATATAACATTTATAGTGCATATAAATATTATAATTTCAAACCAACTATAAACGTTATTATTATAAAAACATTATACTTTGATAATGTTGATATACTATTATTTTACACGAGCCATAGCCAAATTGATAGAATATTAGTAAATATTTTACTTTGTATATGACACAATCCAACTGAGAATTGAGATATTTCAGGTATCTGTTTTAGAATTTCTTCGGTCACTAAATGTACACCCCTGTGTTGTGGTCTGAGATTTATTTTGCGTTGAAACCACGCAGAACCAATTTGAATTCCTCGACTGGATGACGCCATCCCTATGTACGTGTATTTACAACGCAAGTTACGGTCTGTTGGTGGAACAGAATATTAACAATTTATTGGTTTTTTTTTTCAGTTACATCTACTGAATAAGAAATTAGATTTTCAGAAAGCAGAATTGACACTTACAGAAGTCATCGTACGCAATACATTTCGTAGAAATCGTTTAACGGGACTTATTGGCTATAGATAAATTGATAGGCTAATGGAGTTCACAATATCTACAGTTTAATCTACAATAATATTTGGTAAGATTAGTTAATTCAATTTCAGTAATCTGAAATTTCCAAATTTCGAGATTACACTGAATAAAAACCACACGGAAACAAATTTTCGTACAGTGTGGCTGTGAGTAAAGTAAAATTCCCATTTTTTTGAACATTGTCTTGCCAACCACAACGGTTTTAAAAGCGCCATTGTAACGGCGTTTAAAATGAAAAAGGCTTGAACCTTTCATTAAAATTTAGCATTAAAACAGAACACGCCTACATACCTTGTGAAATCTACGTTCACCTTGGGAAATTTCCCTCCCTAACTATTGACCATCATAACTAAAACCCAAGTATTGGGATTTTTGAAATTGCTAACAACGAAATTGATGGCGTTTCACTGTATTATAGATAAAAAAAAAAAAAAAAAAAAAAAAAATCAGGGACGCTAAATTTGAATTCATTAGTTCCAGTGGTGGTTTTACGTGAGAGGTGAAGTCCAAGGGGTCTGGACCCTATCCAAATCCCGAATTTAAGTTATGATATATTATTTGCTGCTAGGGGCACTCTTGTTTAAAATGATATGTTATTTTCGTATAGGTATACGAATTACATTTAACAATATAAGAAGTTCAATTGAAATTAAAATCAAATTAAATGATAATTAAATTTTAAGTTATAAAAATATTACGATCATATAATATTTGTTTTTTAAGTTAATTCATAACTATCACTGTAAACATTTATTTTATTTTATAGAATTTTTATGGGGTCTAGCATAGAGATTATTTTACTGCACAATTAAACTAGTGGCATAATTTGGTGGGGAAAGGGGTGAAATCTGAGGTATTTGTCAGTGTAATTTTAACTTCAACTTATAGTCGACACACTAAAAAAATATAAGAAGTCTTCAAGAGGCTAATTTTGTCAACCAATATTAATTGTGTGTCAGCTGACCTCCTGAATCTTTCCTAAATCAAAAAAAAAAAAATCATAGTAATTATTTTTCTAAATTAAATTAAAATTGTGTTATTCTTAAAATAACATTATATATATTTATATATTATTATTATATTATCATTTATCTTGAAATATTATTCACGTGATTTAATAGAACTAACTTATTAAAAATACTAAAATTAAAATTCTTTAGAACTAAAAATAGGTATCGCCACTATAGTTTATAATACATTTTGGTTCTCGATCAAAATCGAATAAATATAAATACTTTGAAAAATTGAGATAGGTGTTTTTAATGGTCACATACACGAACACAATGATAATATGATAATATTCGCTTTGGAAAAATATAAAAACAAAAATAAATTAAAATTTATAGTTGAGTTCGAGCATAACTAGGAAAAACATTTTTAATAGGTGTTAATTGAATCTCGCTCCTATAGTTTGATAACCATAGGAAATAATTGTTCCCTAAAGAATAAATCATAATTGTATAGTTATGAATGTATATGAGTCATAATCTCAGTTATCAAGAACGATAAATAGTTGATGAATCATGCCGGATAATACTTGACTTATAAATATTTTCTGAAGAATATCAAAGTAGAAACATAATATACGACGGATTTTGTATTTTATATATTTTATTCCCGATCATCAGACAAAGTACTAAATAATGTGAACATAAAATATAAATTCAAATTATTACAATACTGCAATCATAAACTCATAACTAAAAATTGTGTCAATAAATGTAATACATTTCGGCCATGCAATTATTGAAAACAAATTATCGAGCCTCCGCTATTATATTTCTTATTATTTGTGTGTTGTGCTTATGCTTACCATTATTATAATAACCTACAGTATTTTAAGTTTTTTGCAATAATTTTTTTAGAAAGTGAATACAATTTTATAAAAAAAAAACTACTCGACATTTTTAGATAACATTAATTTATTAAACACAGGAATCAAATCGTAACGAAATAACTACGTGAATATGTCTTGTATATTGACATTAAAAATAGTCCAATCATATGTTAATTATATTTTTAAGTACGAATTAAGATATCTTAATTCGAGGTTATAAGTATTGTATCTATACGTGTATCTTTTATCTAAGATTGTAATATCTATATGTAACAAATTAAAAAATTAAAGCTAAAAAAAAATTATATTAATTTGTGCCCCTCTGATGACAATTACCTTAAATTTATTAATAACTTAATTTGGTTGGGAAAATAATAATATGCTATACCGTTTGCTTCTGTTCATTTAGTATTCAGCCAATCTCGGACATTCATTAGTTATGATTTTACGAGTCGTTATGGCACCTAACATCGTGTATTCTCAGTGCATAATGTTTTGCCATCATAGTACGAGATTGTAGATCATGGGTTCAATTATTACACCTCACTACCCACACATATTTTATATCTGACATTTCAATTAATGAGTAATGAAATACAGAACAACTTAGAAATCTATAACAAACCACAACAGTATTCTTTTTTGGACGAATAATTTCTAGTCTACTTGTTCTGTAGTAGTGTGACTGACGAATAAGCTTCTGGTATTAAATTTATGGTAAGAACTAATGCAAATACCAAATGAGTACTATTGTTGCTATTGATTAGAGTCATATTTCAGACACACCCCTACTTGGAATTTTATACCAAGATTTGATCATTTGGGTTATCATTCGTACCAAATCTAAGTTCTTCGTGAGTTACCGAAAAAGTATTTTGAAGTTTTATTAACTTTCCATCACAAGTATGAAGTTACCTATTGAATGAAAAAATTAATATTTAAGACCATTCAATTATGATATCTGATATAACTTATTTTAATTGTAATGGTTGTGTTATAAATAAAATCATACGATATTAGAGAGATTTTAATCTCTGAAAGTTCATTAAATATAGCTTCAAAGATGTAAAGTTGACGAGGAACAGTGGAACTCAGGGCTACCTATGTGTGCAAGATGTTCAAAAAACAAGGGTGGCAGGAACAAATTATTTCTATATACATATAAACTATTTGTTTATATATAGAAAAAAATAAATGCTTAGCCTGAAATATTAATATATTAGGAAAATACGACAAGAGTCACGATTTGATTGATTCTGTTCTTAAAAGTATGTACTTTTTTTTATAAATATATTTTTTTTTTTTTATATGTATATACCTGACAATGAATTTTTAATTCGAATCAGTCTTCTATCAACTTCTTCGAAATCTACTTCTTTACAAATATAATAATATTCCAGGCTCAGCATTTATTTATTTATTTATTAATTAATTTATAAGTGTAAATCATTTAATTATTTTATATTTTTATTTTATTTTTTATTCATTTATTGAATACTTATTCTTTCGGCATAATGTTACCGTCATTATTCATTGGTGCAACTAGACCAATATTTTTGGGGATCCACAAATTGTGAATAGTTTAGGTAAAACAAGGAGCGTTAAAAATATTTAATTTATAGTCACACCTCGGCGGTGCACATGATGCATCTTAAATTTGGGATTGCCTTAATTTCATGAATCTGTGCACCATCCAAATTTCGTCAATGGATTTTTAGCAATTGTATAACAAATTCAACATCCAGTGTATAATCAAGATGTGAAAAAATTTCAAATCCATCAAATTGAAGCTATTTCGGTAAAAGATTTAATGAACAAACCAACGACAACAATGGAAAATATATCGCCTTAAATGTTGTGTACTGTATATAGATAGTAGATAAAAGGAGCATGGGATAATATACTGATCATAGGGAATGTCATCTGACAGATATAATTTTTAGAAAATAATAAATTATTTTTGAGTTAGTAAAATATTACTTTATATATAAAAGACTCTTATTTTATTTTTTATTAAATATAAGTAATACCTAATTGTTAATTTTAAAAACCATCGGTTATCAAACGCGTATCTTTTATTATAGGTTCTCATTAGCAGTGCATAACATAATGTACATAATGTAATCTGTGATCCTATAATATTTCTTCTAACTAGGCCTTTACAGTTCTACGAAGCTAACAAAAACTAAACTGGTAAAAAATCAAAATATTCAACATTTTCAGTGTTGTCGACACCATTAATTAAAATATTGTACTGATAATCACACTGAGTTATCTTTTATATTTTTTTAATTGATAAGATAATATGTTGAGTGTAATCATTTTTGATATAACTTCATTCAAGTAGTCAATCATTTTGAAAACACTCTTATCTCAAATTTAAATGAGTACTAATGATTCATTTTTATTAAATTTAACAAACTTCTATAAATCCATTTCATATATTTCAATTGATTAATTAATTTTTTTTTTTATTTAAAAACAAATAAATTATTGATTACAATGTTTTATGTTTAAAAATGTCAAACTCTAGTAGCAGTGAAACGGAAGAGTTTTTTGATGCTGAAGATTTCACGGCTCGCGATCAAAAGTAGATTTTTTTTATTTGTCATAATTTTGCTTAGTACTCAATTATACATTATTTTATTTATTATATATAAATATAATTATTAATTATTATATCAAACATACATATAAAAATAATCGTTCATTTTTTTTAGTGAGCAATCAAAGCAAAGTGCCAAAAGCGAAAAAGAACTATTGGAAGAAAAGAAAAAAAATATGTCTTTCAAAATATCTAGTACTTCAAAATCGGTAAGATTATTTATAAAGTAATTAGTCTATTATAATTTATAAATTAATGGTTTTAGGCATCAGAGCCCAATGGTCGACGTAAATTCAATGAAATTCGACAACATATGCAAATCGATGAAGATGAAATGCAAGCAGTATCACCGACTGAAAGTCAAGCCTCATCAGCTGATGGTGTATTCCTAGCACCTTCACATAGACCTAGTCATCCTTTTAGAGTAATTGAGCCAGATGGTGCATCAGTACAGAGTATTTTATCCTTAGGCAAAGTTGGCAGATTATTAGGAAGCGTTCCTTCAGATCATTTTATAGGTTCATATTACAAATTGTAAATTATTTTTTAGACATCTTAAAATTAAATTTATTTTAGGAAAAGAATCTGCTCTGCGCCCATCAGAAAACAATAAATCATCTGAACCATCTACACCAGTTTCATGTGATGATAAACCAATTGTACCTTCTGAACCTGTTACAACTTTTCATGAACCCGATGTGATAGCAAGCACAAAAAATAATGGAACTGTTTGTATTGAAACTGATAGACCTATTGCTCCACCAAGACGAAGAAGACGTAAACAAACAATTGAAAATAATGGTGCTAAGGTTGAAGATAATTCAAATGTACTTACTACATATATGAAATTATCAATATCATACAAATATCACATTTGTTTATTTTATTGCATATTTTTTATTGAATAGCAATTGAATACTGAAAAAGATGAAGAAACTGATCCAAATTGTTTAACAAGCCCTGCGAGTACTATAGAATCATTAACTAGAGAATTAGAACATTCTTTAGATCTTCATTCTGCTACTAAAGGGCAGTATATTGTTAATCATTCGGTAGGTTTTATTAAATTTTAGTATTTCAATTAATTAATAGTTTCATATTAATAGGATAAAGAAAAACCAGTTCTTAGTATGATTAAAGAAGCTTTTGAAGAAGTTAGAGAAAAATCCAAAACAATTGCTTCACATAGCAATACTTACCCAATGGCTAGTACAAGTGGTATAGCTTCCAATAGATCATGTAACCGTGTTGCTTCACGGGAACGTCGAAGATCTGCTGGTGATGAACAAGAGTTGAGAGATCAGCAATTAAATATGTTTTTAAAAACACATACCGATTCCGGAAAAAAATTAACTGACATTGTAAGTAATTATATTTAATAAATATAATTTGATATAATAATTTGATTTTAAATTTAGGAAATACTGGAACAAATAACTGTATTAAATTTGGATACTGGAGAAAGAGTTCCTCTTAGTATAGCTGAAGATAAATTACCACAGTGCATTAACCCATTATCTTTACATATAATGCGCTTGACATCAGAATATGTGAGCACTCCAAACTTAGATTCTCATTCATATAGATCAAATTCTATAAAAAAACTTAAAGAATCAGACGAAGAAAGTATTGGTAGTAAATCAAATGATACTGTAGCTACAGGACGAGATGACCCAGTTGATGAATCTACTATACGTCGTCGCACTGCTAGAATCAAACGATTCTTGGGTACTACAGTAAAGAAAACTGTAAATAAAGCGAGAACAATTGCACATGAAGTATCTCATGTTAGGCACAAAGAAGATGTTATGGAAATTATAGATTTAGTAGAAAGACCACAACCTGCAACTGATGTTCCTAATACACAAGTTAATGAACCATTCAAATTGAGAGCATCCAATAGCCATAAAGGACCATATGAATTTGATTCAGTTCAACATGTTCAAGTTAGTAATTTAAAATTGTTGTATTCACAATATATATTATTAAATATTGGGTCAAATCTTTGTTTATAAGATTGAACCAAATTATAATTATTTTTATATTTAATTTAACTAAATTTTAAATTAAAATAATACAATTCAAAGACAGCTTTCAGTATTTTCACTCATTGTAGCCAATTAATATTTATGAAAAATATAATAAATGTAGATAGACATCTCAGTTTTTTATTATGAATTCTTGTTTTAATTTAGAATCTCAATTTATTTCCAATAGTTTAAATAATTTTTTTCACCTATAGTTGAAATTTTTAACTGAAAAGTTCATTCCATCTCTATTGTTGAACAATGAAATTAAACTTTTAATAGAGCATATAATTAATTAATCAGAAAGTTTTAAAAATGTAAGTTCATGTATGTATAGTTGTTGTTATAAGAAGAATAACATTCTTTATGATTCTTTATGTTCTTTTGATTGAATTTGTATTAAAGTTTTCATCTTTAGAAGTTGACTTTAAATATAGGTACAATTCAATGTATTTTTTAAGTTATTAACATAATTTTTTTTTTTTTTTTGTAGGAATTCTGTAATGAACATACAGGTCCAGTATGGTGTATGAAATTTTCCATGTGTGGTAGATTATTGGCTACTGCTGGACAAGATCGTGTGCTTCGAGTTTGGGTTCTACGAGATGCTTTTAAAGATTTCCATGAAATGCGTAAAAAATATGATGCTGATAAAGTTTCACCTACGCCTTCTACAGAATCTTTAGTTTCTCAATTATCAGTCGATGATCAATCATTTTCTGCAGATTCAGATGATCGTGGACCATTTATGTCTCGTCCTTTTTGTACATATACTGGACATCGTTCTGATTTGCTGGATATAGCTTGGTCAAAAAATTATTTTGTCTTATCATCATCAATGGATAAAACTGTTCGATTATGGCATATAAGCAGAAGAGAATGTTTATGTTGTTTTCAACACATTGATTTTGTAACTGCAATATGTTTTCATCCAAGAGATGATCGTTATTTTTTGAGCGGATCACTTGATGGAAAGCTTCGTCTTTGGAATATTCCTGATAAAAAAGTAGCAGTTTGGAATGAAGTTGAAGGGCAAACAAAACTTATAACTGCCGCTAATTTTTGTCAGAATGGTAAATTTGCAGTAGTGGGTTCCTACGATGGTCGATGCATATTTTATACAACTGATCAATTACGTTATCATACTCAAATACATGTACGTTCCACTCGAGGTAGAAATTCTACAGGACGTAAAATAAGTGGTATTGAACCAATGCCTGGTATGCCTGGTGAAGATAAAGTGTTGGTAACATCTAATGACAGTCGAATTAGATTGTATGATCTCAGAGACTTAAACCTATCTTGCAAGTACAAAGGTTATGTTAATATAAGTAGTCAAATCAAAGCTAGTTTTAGTCATGATGGTAAATATATTGTATGTGGATCAGAAAATCAATGCATATATGTATGGAAAACACATCATGATTATTCAAAATTCACATCAGTAAGACGAGATCGAAATGATTACTGGGAAGGAATCAAAGCCCATAATGCTGTAGTGACTTGTGCAATTTTTGCACCTAATCCAGAAGTGGTATTTAGACAAATGAAAACTGATGAAAATAGTAGCCAAGATGGGTATGTTTTAGTGAGCGCAGATTTTAATGGCTGTATACGAGTGTTCATCAATCGAATGAAACCTAAACATAGTTCACTTCCAGCTAGTGCTATGGTATAATTTTATTCAACCAAAATTGGCATTTTTTTAATAATATAATTTATGCTTGGTTTCATTACGAAAATGAAGATAAATTTGGATTATTGGATCAAATGATTTATATTATTAATTAGCTGCAACTTAACTATTAGAAATTAATAATTATAGTAATTATTAGATTGATGGTGAGGTATAATTAATTTTAATTTGTTACCATTATTTTATAACAAAAATGTATTTTAATTCAATTTGGCTTCTGGTAATTGTTTTTATGAATGTTAAATATTTTTAATATAATGTTAACAACAAAATAACTAAATTATTTACAATTATTGTATGATATGTAAATTACAGTTATTTTTGATTTTGAAAAAATCAATGTTACATTAAAATAGAATATAGTTCTATTAAAATAATAATATTCTTAATTCTTTAGTAAAAGTATTTGTGAAAAGAATGAATTTAAAATTTAAGTTAGGAAATTTATAAAAAAAAATTTGATTTTCATTAAACACTTTATTATTTACAAATAAAATTGTTTTTAAAATATGAATTAATAATAGTTAATCAGTCAAATGTTAGGATTAATTTTTGTAATTTTTCATTGTTTTAATGACACAAATGGTATTTTTTATGACTCATTACTTTAATATATCGTATAATGGTCATATTTTCCAAAAAGTAATAGTTAAAATGAAAATATGTAATTTATAAATATTATATTATTTGAGTATAATTAATTGATTATATATTTTGAATATCAATGAATATATTATTTATGAGCCTATAGGTAACAAAGAACATTAAAAACCACTTATCAAGTAGTTTTATCTTTGTGACTTATAGAATAAGTATGCATCAATATTTTTTCTACATTTATAAAAAGTTGGCCCTAGGTTAGATATAATTATCTCGGAGGCAAAGTGTTTTACAGTGAAATAAATGATCATGTTATTAAATAACAATTTGAAATAAATTAGTAAGTGTAAGATTATCATAAACTTAGTAGAATAAATTAATATTTAATGGTAAATATTATGAAAAATTATTTACTATTAGTAATATTTATCAAGTCGCATATAAATTGAGTAAAAAAAAAAAGTTATTAATATTCAATTATTTATACTATATCAATTTGCAAAACTTATGCTATTTTAAATATTTTAAATGTATATTTGTATAAACAAAAACATGGTAACTTTAGTTAAAAGATAATAAAAAAAAAATGTTTTGACAACTTTTTCAAAACAATTTAAAAATGTAATTTAATTATAAATATGAATTATCTAACCCAAATGTACAAAATTTTATGATGGAGATTTCCATTTATTATCATAGTCATTAATGAGAAGGTTCTTATACATTTTTAACTTAACTTCTAATTCATCGCCATCTAATTTAGCAGATAATACTTCTACTCGGGATACCAATAGAAAATCTGGATTGTTTGGACTAGGGCCTTTGACCAGGTCTATCTCGTCGCCCACTTCCACTGAATGACTTTTCTTTGTCACTTTTTCTCCGTTCACTCGAATACGACTTTCATAGAAAGCTACTTCAATTTTACTAGAGGGAAAAAAAAATATACACATATAATCAGAACAACACAACGCAGACATTGGATTAATTACTTTCTAGATTTCCCTAAAGCATGTTTTAGAATGGCATCCATCCTCATGGTGCTGGTCCTGAATTTCATCAGTTTACTGGAATTGTCCATATCTAAATCCAACTCTTCGTCGTCGGAACTATCGTCATCGTTCTAACAAAGAAAACGCTAACAGATTAGACTTGGGATAACGTCTACAGATGCGTTTGATCTTGCCGTATTACTTGGTTTTTTGTACGTTTGTAGCGTTTGCTCGACAGCAAACATCGAACCGTGTTCGCGAGAATCGGCGGCCGTCGACATTGATGATGATGATAGTGAACGCTGCGAGTCACGATGAAAACGGAGGACGGCAATCGTGGAAAAAGATTGCAGACAGCAACCGCGGACCGGAGCCCCGACACGAACCTTGACATTTCTTTTTAGGTTTCCCGAGCGGGCCGGAAACGAAATGAGCACTGTTCCGGTATGCGACGCAGAATCGCAGGAAAAACGTGATCCGATAAAAAATTTGTCACCGTCCTGGAACCGAATGGTTTATCAGCGGTTGACCGTCGCCGGTGATAAGGAACGACCGTAAGAGAACGACGCAGAGCGCGTTGGTGGTCGTGTGGCCGGCCACGATTGTGGCACTCAAATAGAATGATTTCCCACGTATATTTCGACTGGGAGCGGTGGCGCGCTCCTGTAATCCGGCGTCCCGGAGGTCGGACTACGTGGATGGTTTGAGGTGGGGACAACTGCTACGAGTCGGTCCGCGTTGAACGGACGTCCGCGCTAAGCTTGTCGTCAATATGGGCTCCGCGGGGTAGCCCGTGGTGCCCAGGTTAGCTAAGGAGAGGCGAACCGGGCCAGGGGGGAAACCCAGCAGCCAAAAGTCTCCGCGGTGAGCAGTAGCGGGATAGCGTCTGCGAGTAGAGCACTCGTCCGCAGCCTCGCCAACACAATCAGACCGTAGTCCTAAATTTTTTGCATTTTTTTCCGAGTTACATTTTTTGCGTTTTTTTCCGAACATATTTTTTGCGTTTTTTTCCGAACTTTTTTCCACGCCAACAACTCGTTTCTACCCAGAACCGTGCCATGGCGGGGGGGGATAGGAGCATACGTCCTGGCCATATGGTTTAAAGGAGCGCCAAGAATTTATAAATCTATGATTTACGATTAATGATAAATAAAATAGGGCGTGAATATCTTTAATTTTGCCCTGTGTGCCAAATCTTAACGGCACGTCTCTGTTTCTACCATCGTTCTTTTTCAACAATTTTCGGTGAAAAATTATATTTTCTTATGTTATAATATTCGTTTTATAAATGTATTTTATATATATATATATATATATATATGTATTATGTTACCTAGGTCGAAATACAAAAACGAATCCGTGATTGAAATTATGTACTTTTTACAATTTCGTTCGACGTTTTAATTAAAAACGAATCGATTTTTTTTTATAAATATGATCAGGCGCGGATCTAGAAATGAAAAAAGGTGGGGTCTAGTAAAGTAAGTTACTGCCGTGATTCGTTGCGCATGTCGATTTGTACGAAGTCTTTCTTTTGTCTAATTTTTTTAGTACGATGTTCTACTTAATGGCTGAGGCCCCCACCCCTTTTTATCCGCATTTAAATATGATTTTTCGTTACGAAGTATTCATTTTCCGTAAAACGTAGTTCATTAAACTGTAACATAATTTTGCTCGTAAACAATTTTTTTCAGACAACAACGCATTAACGGTCAATAAATATTGTTTATGATACTAAAAAATCATTTAAAACGAAACATTCCGATTTAAGTGTAAAATAAATTATTAAACAAACATTAAGTGGATACATATTGTCGGTGTAATGTTCTGGATATTTTTATTTTTATCACAACAGTTATTAAATTTTATTTAGTTATATGTCCTGCGCGCCGCGTTTTCAAATTGTATTGCCCTATCTATCACACGTGTAATATATTGTAAATAGTTAAACAATTTTTTTATTTGGCAATCAGTATAACTATTGTTATGATCCCTTGGTTCAAGTAGTTTTAATAGGAATATAGTATGTAACACTCAGCATTAATATTTGTTTATAAGCGGTAATTTAATATTGTAAGACAGGCGAATAACATGGTTGATATAATCGTTTTAGTCGTGGTTTAGCGAACGATTCAGTAACACCTTATTATGTAATAACTAGAGTTCGGAAGTTATAGGAGCTAAAAAAGGCAAAATATGCATGAAAAAATGATAAAATATGCATGAAAAAATGTGAAATATGCAAAAAAAAATATTTATTTATTGATTAAAAGTTAATTAATAAATTTTAAAAACCTATAATTAAAAAAATTGTATTATTGAAAACTAAAATATGGCGCATAATCGAACGGCATTTGAGATTTTATTGAAAAAATAATTGAACAAATATATTTTCATTATTTGTGAAATACGAGATAAATATATGTTGTATAATATATTATACCTGTTATACCTGGTATACCTGTTAAATTATTGCATCGAACCATCAATATTTTTGTTAAATTCATAGTAGACATTAAAAAATAACAAATGAATAAAATAATGAATAAAATAAGAATGAAAAAAATTAATTTTTTTAGGAAACATTAAATATGCACACAAATATACGAAAATCAATGAAAATCGTCGAAATATGCACTTTTTCTCTAAAATCAACGCATTATGCAAAATATGCATTTTCAATTTTTAAACTCAATATTGTATAGCTCGGATTTCTAGTTTGGTGTGCTATAAATCGTTTGCATACAGAACAATATGCAACTCCTATAACTTCCGAGCCCTAGTAATAACTTATATTTTTGTTATTTTTTCAAGCTAAAATAAATAAAATAGTTAAAACGGACAACTCGTTTAAGTGTTTAAATATTTAAGAAATCCAACGAACTCATAACACTATTTAGCTCAACAATTTTACAATATAATTAAAATTATAGTGAACATAATAATGATTACAAGAGAAACTATAATAATAAAATTCTAGTATGCTGATTACATAATCCAATTAAAATAACATAATATACCAAACGATTAATGTTATCAGACTAGCTGCTCCGCACAGTTTTGCCTGTACATAGTATTGAACAGAAATATTCAGAGCGAAGTGTGCGGAATGTATTGGTTTTTTTATGATCCATGGCTTTTAAATTTTGTTTGATTTTAAATTAAAAAAATAATTACTTTCTCCCAATTCTTCTTCTAGTAAGTTTAAAATTAATTTATTATTATTAAAAACGCACGACAACTCATTATCAGAAATGGTGCACTTCACCATTCAATAGGTATGTACTGCCGAGACTGAGTATTGAATCGATCCTGGCGTTGGACACCGTACCTTTACTATAAATGGCAGGATTTGACGAAAATCTCCAGAGAATAAGATTGTACAGCCACTCATCTATGTGTTCTTATTACGTAAGTCTCCCAAAGTATGCCTCGACTGAGCTTTTATACGACGTAAAAACTTCGCTTCAAATAATAAACTCACAATCCTGCTATAATTGAGGTTTGTTTTCCATACATACTCACATAGCTGGTACCGACGGCAGTTATTCACACCTAACGCATCACGATACAACGATAAATGAGGAAAATGAATTAACGAATAATAATAACAATTAATGAATAATTATTTTTTCTTCTCATTTACCAAGTTATTTTTTAATCGTCAATCATTCAAAATTAAGTTATAATTATAAATATAAAAAAAATAAATAATACACTAACTGATTTATTTTTTCAACTATTAATACATATCATATAAATACATTCAAATTTAAAGTTATACCAGTTGACATACATTATAGTTCACATTTAAACTCTTTTACAATAATAAATCAACTTTATTAACAATATTTTCATATCTGAAGGTAGGCAAATTTGAATAACGCGATTGGTCCATGCCCGATAAATGCGTTATCAATACAAAATAACTATTGTTTTTCTATTTGCAAAAAAAAGATGCGATTCCCCAATAACGCAATTATGTATACACAACAGTTATATTGCATTAATATTTTCAGAAATTCAATTATTTTTTCGAAGAAGATTTAATAACTTTCTCTAAGACTCGACCAATTATTTTATTTAAAAGTATATCCGGGCCGAGTACTTTTAATACAATTGCAATTACAGATATATCATGTGATTATGTAAAATAATAGAAACAAAATAGAAAGAGAGTATTATACACAAAAGTGACAGTATACAAAATTCTGAATATAATTATAGTAACTACATAGTTATAATAATAATTATATAGATAATAAAAAAAATGTAGAAAAAAGTAAAAATAATGCAAAAAATGTGGGTTATCCGATCCGTAGTTCGAACTCAAGATATTCTATACTAAACTTGAAAGAAGTGTTACTGCGCCAGAAAATTTTCAGTACGCGGCGACATTTTAATAGGATTTTAAATAGTAGTCTATACTAATAATCCTTTGCTATTAAAGGCCCCACACACGATCAGTTTAACTGCGCAGCAGAGGCGCCATTTGTAGGGGGGGAGCAGGGTGTGCACTCGCACACCTTGATTTTTTTTTTTATCTTCAATTATTAGCCTAGGCGTCACTGATACATGGCTTTGCCACTTTGATCTTCAGTTTTCCAATCTTTAATGTTGTGCATGCACCGTGGCTGATCGATAATCACTGCTAATTATAAATGTTGGCCTGGTGATGGGAAAAAATTGGCCACTTTAATTGCTTGCACACCCTTAAAAAAACTGAAATGGCGCCCCTGCTGGGCAGTTTACATGTGTAAATAACTGAGTGTAAATTGTACAATCAACTGAACTAAAGGTGTGTATAGTGATTAATATTGTATAATTTGTATAATGATTAATATTATAATTAATCATTTGCAACATTTTTCATCGGCGTTCCACTTCTATTGGTAGTAGCGTGATGTCATAAATCCTTTCTCGATAAATAGACTATCCAACACAAAAAAAATTTTTCATTCGAACCAGTAGTTCCTGAGATAATAAGGAAGATAATAAACTTTATTAAACTATTTATTTTATTTTTAATTATTTTATAGTTACTATCCTTAACCGTGATAATAACGATTATGATAAGAATTTATATTTGTGATTTTGGATTCAGTGATGGTTGGTAATGAAGGAGATTTGGTAGGTATTCTTGGAATCAACTTAACTCAGTTAAAAATGTATACCCAGGCTTAGTATTTAGCGATCATGAAATGAAAACCACGTAAACAAATTCAATCGATTCTAACGTAAAAACACCACTCGCATGGATGGATAATTGTTATTTTGAATGCACGCAGAAGTGTATTGCAATAGTGGCAACGACTAAACACGACATACTTTTGCTATCGAATCGCGTGTCGACACGTTGTTGACGTCGTTATTTTTTCTAGAGTGCTGGTCACAATTTATTATATTTATAAAAATCGCTTGACGATTTTCACACGGGTACACGGTACAAGTATTTTTTTTAAACACGAATCGGTTTGCATAACATTAAAAAGTTACATGCATTCTGCAGCTTCCGGTGCATTACGAAAGACGAATACACTCAAAAAACACCCGGACAGGACGAACGGCAATGGACTGCCCATCATCGTGCGACGACAACACCAACAACAACAACATCAGTAGTGGTAGACGCGATGATCAACCCAGATGCCCGGACAGGTGCCCGCGGTCGTGTCCAGAGTCGGAAGAGCCGCGGAAGAACCCTTGCGAACAAGAGGAGGAAAACAAATGTTTGACCGCGATCGAGAAGCGTAAGGTGTGCAACGTGCGCGCGAACCTGGCGGAGCAGCTGAACTGCAACGACGGTGGCCGGGGCGTGAGGTTGGGTCGCGAATCCGAAGAGTATAGGGCGTGCAGCTGCCCGGACCCGGTTGACCGAATCGTCGAGGAAGGTCTGGCGGCCCAATGCGGGGAGGTGTCTTCGTCTTTCGAGTCGGGAGCGTGTGGCGGCGGCGGCGGCGGCTACGAGCCGGACTACTACGATGACCACGCGGACATGCGGAACTGGCAGGAGCACCGTGGGAACAGGGAAACGTCGCGGCGGACCAGGCGCCACAACGCGCGACCGGATTGTACGCGGCCGCCACCGTTCACGAATATGCGTTTACAGATGACGCGGGAACAGGAGTTTACTTTGCACGAGGAATTGTGCGCCGAGCTGGCCATGGTGGAACGTCATCGGGAGGTGCTGAAACAGTGCATAGAGCGTCAGCAGCAGGATATGGATCGACCGCCGCCGCCAGAGCAGCAGCAACAGCAGCTCCGGAGCAGGATAAGCGCGCAGAAACAGGGAGTGCAGGAGCTCCGGCAACAGTTGGAAGCGCGACGACAACGCGAGCAACAGGATGTCGCCGACGGAGCCGGCCGTTGCTGTAAGACCCCCGCAGCCAACCCGCAGCGGCGCAGGGTGTCGTACCAACCGCCGTCACCCTGCGATAGCAGCGTCTCCTCCGCGGACAACAGTAATTGCGGTCAGCAGCAGCAGCAACCGCGTCCCTGCGCTCCGGCCACCCCCGTAAGCTGTCCGAGACGTCGCGTGCCGTATCAACCGCCGTCGCCCTGCGACAGCAGCGCGTCCTCGGCGAACGACAGTAACTGCGGCCAGCAACAGCAGCAACCGCGTCCTTGCGCTCCGGCCACCCCCGTAAGCTGTCCGAGACGTCGCGTGCCGTA